AGAAACAATAAGAGAGGTAAATAGGGAGCCTACATCCTGGGAACAAATTTTTACTCCTCAGACTTCAGATAGAGCTCTAATATCCAGAATATACAAAGAACTCAAAAAATTAAACAATAAGATAACAAAAAAAATGCTAGTGCCATTTGTGCTAGGATGAGGACAGGTCTTGCGAGTATGTGGCTTCCCTTGGATGTCTCCCTTCTCCAATGAACCTCCTGTTCATAGCAAGTACACTGATTGGCTTTCTGTTCTCCAGTGGTCTCATTAATCTCCCTGGAAGGAGGTTATGTGGCCCACAGATGCAAAGCTCTTTAGAGAAGTTCCTTGTTCCCTGGATTCAGATTGACTCAAGGGCAAGAGCTAAATATTGGTTTTCTTGGCCCTTTTAATTTAACTTTAATTGTTAAGTCTTGATCTTAAACATCTAGCAAATAGGTTTCACCAGTCTTAAATTAAGAGTACTGGGCTTTAACCTTAATGTCTATAACCTTATAATCATTTACCCTTTTTATTAATTGGGGCCTGTAATATCCTATCTGCCCTATAGGTGATGGCTTATTATCTTAAATTAACCCAGGTTTTGTTCTTGAAGTCATACCTCTACAAAACATTAACAGGAAACATTTAGCCAGTTTATAAGGAAAATACAAAATAAAGTTAATAAGAGTAAAAACATATTTAGTCTGTGTAATAATTATCTTGAATTTTGGCTGAGTTATATATTACAACCATCACCATAATGTAATTTTAGAATAATTTTATCATCTCCAAAAGAAGATTTGTGCCCATTAGCAATCACTACTCCTTCTTGTCTCCCCCAGTACCCGTATGCAATGACTCATCTGCTTTCTGTCTTTATAAATTTGCCTGTTCTAGCCATTTCATATAAATGGGATCATAAAATAGATTTTTGCATATTTGTGTGTGTCTGGATTTTTCACTTAGAAAACTTTTTGAAGTGCTTTAATTTTGTGGCATATATACATACTTAATTCCTTTTCATAGCTAAATATAGCCCATTTTGTTTTGCCATTTGCCAGTTGATAGTTATTTGGGTTGTTTACATGTTTTAGCCATTATAAATAATGCTGCCATTAATGTGTGAAAGTTTTTGTTTCAATATATATTTTCATTTGTCTTGGATAGAGATGTAAAAGTAAAATTGCTGAGTCATATAACTCCATGTTTAGCATTTTGAGGACTAGCCAAACTGCATAGTAGCTGCACCATTTTGCATTCCTAACAGCAATGCATAAGTGATACAATTTCTTCTTGTTCTCACCAATACATGATAGTGATAGTATCTCTTTGATTACATCCATATTAATGGGTGTAAAGGAGTATTTTGATATAATTTGTTTGCATTTTTCTAATAAGTAACGTTGTTGAACGTTATTTCATGTACTTGTCTTTGTATATCTTCTTTGGAAAGTATCTATTTAAGAATTTTGCCCATTTTTAATTGGGTTATTGCCTTTCTGCTATTGAGTTATGWATTAGTTCATTTTCTATAATGAAATTTATCTCTCTTGATAAATTTATGAGGTAAAGGGATTTAATTTACTCACACTTCTGGATGTTCAAGGACATAGTACCAGGATAAACTCAGCGCTGGTGAGGATCTTATGGTGGATAGTATCAAAATGGTAGAAGTACATGTGAGAGAGAGAGATCACATAGTTGTCTGGAAGTCGAAGACAATAGGGACTGGCCAGACTTGTTCTTTTATAACAACTCTTTCTTGAGAACTAATTCAAGATCTCTTAAGAACTAGCTATTCCCTTTTGAATGTAGTATTCCCGGTGACCTAAACATCTCTATTAAGCCCCACCTCAAGTGTTCCATGTTATGTCTCAACATTGCTACGCTGGGATCAAATTTCCAATATATAAACAGCTGAGGGACACCATAACATCATGCCCCTGGTCCGTAAGATTCACATTCGTCTCATAATACAGAATGTATTCATTCCATGCCAGTAATTCAAATTCTTACCTTCCATCATCAATTAAAAGTTCAAGTCCAAAAGTTTATCTGAGATCTAAGACAAACTTTTTCCAGCAAGGAGCACTTGTAAAAACAGGAAAAAAAAATGTTATATACTTTCAAAATCCAGTGGAAGAACAGATACAGGATAAACATTCTTATTTCAAATGGAAGAAACAGGCAAGTATAAAGAAGTAGTTAATTCAAAGCATGCCTTAAACTCAGTAAAGTGGACATTAAATCTTAAAGTTTAAGTCTGGCATTCTGTTCAAATTGTTATGGGGGAGGGCTATGTTAGTCAGATTTCTGTCACTATAACAATCTATCTGAGATAATTAACTGAGAAATAAAGGTTTATTTCAACTCCGTTTTGGAAGTTCTAGTTAATGTTGTTTTGCCCTGTTGCTTTTAGGCCCGTTGTGAGGCAGCTCAAAATGGCAGTAGCAAGTGGCAGGGTAAGACCTCCTTAGCTTATGACTAGGAATGAGGAGTAGTCTGGCTAATCACTCTATCTCTCAAAGTTATGCCCCCAATTATCAGGAGACCTGATAGTTAGGCCCTACCTCTTAATGGCCCCACCTTCTCCCAATAGCACCACCCTGGGGACCAAGTCTTTAACGCAGAGGTCTTTGGGGGACATCCACGATCCAAACTATAGCAGTCTCCACAACTTTGTGCAGCCCCACCTCTATGGCGTTGCTTGTCACAGGCCTTGTGGTTACTCTCTCAGGTTGCATCTTCACAATGTGTAGAGCTTTCTCCAGCAAGAACTGTATGTTGTCATCACTCTACTTTTTGAGGTCAGCAGTCACCCTAATGACTCCACTTGGTATGGCCTCATAATTTTTGCAGGGGCTTATACCTGTGGCAAACTTCTGCCTGATCCCCAGACTCTCCTTTAAAATCTTGCATTTTGTATGCTTGCAAAACCAGCTTCATGTTGATGCTACAAGGTCCACTACTAGCTTGAGTGTAAGGAATGACTTGTACCTGAGAGGGAGCCATAGAGGGCTTCACTGACTCAATCCAAGGAAATGAATCCTGGGGCAGTACTGGGCAACATTCCCATGGAGAGCTCCCTGGGAGAGGTTCCTGAAACAATTATGCCTTTCCTGTCCTCTAAAATATGATGGAGGGGTAGCCTCAAAGGTTTCTGTGATGCCATTGGATTTTTTTTTTCTCATGGTCCTGGTACAAAGCAACTGATTCCCTTTTATCCATGCTAATTATGTTAGCAAACAGTTACAGGCTTCACCCTAGTCTTTTTCTACTGAATACACTTTTCCACTCTGTTTTCTAGGTAAATCTTTCCCAAATCTTTCCACTCTGTTTATTTTTTATTTCAAGTTTAATTATAAATTTGACTACAAGCAGTCAATTATACCTATTCTGCAGCCTGAATGCTTTGTTGTTTTGAAATATCCTCCAACTAAATAAACTAGTTCATCATTCTTAAATTCAGACTTCCATAAAGTTCTAAGGCATGGACACAATGCATTGAAGTTCTTTGCAATTGTGTAACAAAGATGATCTTTTCTCCAATTTCCAGTTGAATCATTCTTTTCATCTGAAACCATTTCTTAGTCTTTTCATCTTTGAAGCACTCAACAGAATCACTCATAAGATTCTGTGTCGTGTTCCATGACTAAACAATCAAGGTCACTCCAGGCAAACTGGGCTGCACAAAATAACCACACAGAGACAGAGAAATACTTTTTTCTTTGGGTCCTGTGACAGCTGTTCCCACCTTAGGGAATTGGGGAAAGAGACAGAGAGAGAGATAGAGATAGAGAGAGAGAGATGGAGATGGATGTGTAGAACCCTTTTATTGGAAAGAAGCCATTCAAATGAGGCAAGGGTTTCAGGGGGTTGAGTCTAGCTTCATGTTGTCTGCTGTCAGCAGATTGACTGACATCTAGGAAGGTCACAACCAAGGGCAGAGCAAGAGAAGGGGACACATAAAGGAAATTTCCATGAAACATTCTATTCTGAACAGGGCAAAGGGGTAGGATTACAAAAGAATAGGTGAGTATAGCTCAATTCCAGGGGTATACCTACTCGGAAGACTGGCCTTGCTGTCCAAGCAGGTCACCGCCCAAGCCACAATGGATGCAGTGGTTGGTCAGAGGCTGGTGTATCAGGACTGGAAGGAATGGTCATTCAGAGAATCTCCCCACATTTCTGCTTTAAGCATTCTGTATTTTTCCTGGCATGCTTCTCCACACTCTTCCAATTTCTTCCTATCACCCAGTTCCAAAGCTATCTCAATGTTTTCAAGTATAGTTATAGTATCAACCTCATTCCTTGGTACTGGTTTTCTGTTTTCTGTAGCAGTCCATTTTCTGTTACTACACTGAAATACCTGAAGCTGGGTAACTTTATTTATGTAAATGATTTTATTTAGTTCTCAGTTATGGAGCTTCAAGGACATGTTGCCACTGTCAGCTTTGGTGCTGGTGAGACTATTGTGACAAATGGAATCACAGTGGAAGAAGTTCATCTGAGACCAAGGGGATCATTTGCTTGTTAGTCAGGAAGCTACAAGAGGACAGAGAGTGGCAGGGCTTTCAACAAAAAGTCAGCTTTTTGTTGCTGTAAACAAAATAACCAATGTAAACAATTTAAAGGAAGAAAAGTTTATTTTGTTTGATGGTTTCAGAGATTTTAGTCCCTGCTTAGCTGACTCCATTTCTTTAGGTCTGAGGAAAGCTAGAACATCATGGCATAAGAGCATAGAGAAGGAAAGCTTCTCAACTTATGGTAACCAGGCAGTGTGTGGTGGGGGTGGGCGAGAGCAAGTGTGGGAATGAGCAGGGGGCAGAGAAGGAGCTGGGACAGGAAATAGCCTTCCAGGTCACACCCCCAGTGACCTACTTCCTTCAACTGTATGTACTGATTACAGTTTCTACCTCCCAGTTGTTCATTCAATCATCCATGGATTAATCCACTGTTGAGGTCAGAACCCTCATGATCCCATCATTTCCCCAAAGCAAAAGCTCAGACTTGAACTTTGCTGCATGTTCAGATATATTGCTGATAAGTTCCTCGTCAGATATATCATTTTCAAATATTTTTCCCCGTCTATTTATTGTCTTCACTTTCTTGATAATGTCCAAAGCAATTTATTAGGCCTCCAAATACAAGTTTATTTTTCTGAGCACATTTGTTAAACTCATTGTCTCTTCAATATTTAAAGTGATTTGTAAATACAATGAGGTTATACTATAAAAGGAAATCATTGGAAGAAGAACATGTATGACATTAATGCATCTAGAAGGAGGAGTCTAAAGGTGACTTACTGTGTCCTGCTTGATCTTCCACTGTGTAATGGAGGTCTCATTCTCCCAACCTCATAATATATCTCCCTGGCTCCAGTCTTCTTCATCCCCATATTAGAAGTTATTAAACTTTTGATTTCCTATGATGCTTGTAATGTTAACAAAGCCAATAAAGCCAGTAAATATAAAGTATCATGCATTGAAAAAAAACTAGTCACGTCAGAAAATAGAAAGAATCAAGGCTAAAAGGAGGTTTTTGATGATGTAGGGATTGGCATATGTTCTATATGTTTTTGAAAGGCAGAAGAGAAGGAATCTGTAAAACTTGAAAATCAAAGTAACCCCCAAAGAGAAGGGATTACTGCTGGAACACTGTCAAAGTTCCTATGGATGGGAATTGGATCAAGACCACGAAGAGAATGAGAGCCTTGAAAGAAGAAGGCATCGTCAGCTGGAGTAAAATGGGGCAGTCACTTGACATTAGTACTTTCTAATCAAGAAAAAGGGTTGTAACAAAGGTAGTAGGAAACCTTTGAAAAAAAACCCAAGCAACAATTTGATAGTAACGATGCACATATATTAATAAAAAATATTAATATTCCTGGGTGGGGTGCGTACTCCTATAATCCAAGTGACTTGAATACTCACCTAGCATGCTCAAGGCCCTGGGTTCAATTGTCAGTACTGAAAAAAATATGAGTGATTAATGTCCCTGTCATTGCAAGAGGTGCTTTAGTAGCTACAGAAGACAGAATCTAAATTTTTCTTAAGGCACTTATAACGTAGTTGTAAAATAATCTAACATAGTCATTAAAATATGCACACAAGTTACTGATATCAAGGCAGTAGTATAGGTTGTATATGTGGTAAGAATGAACAAAGGAAAAAAATTACAAGTTAGGATAGTTGATAGAGGGAGACTTAGGTTTTGAACTATATCTGAAAGGATGATATCTACATCTTTGATTCTGCCCTTCAGATTGCTTCTTCAGAACTTCTAACATATGTTGGAACATCAATAGAAGGGCTAAATCATGCATAGTGTGCTCTTTGTACTCTCAGAGCTCCTCAGGGTCAGTGAAAAACCGTAAAATTAGGGCATTGTAAGATAGAAAATTTTGATTCTATAAAATGATGCTTTTCTTTATTTTCAGGCAAGAAGGGGGCTTTGGTAGGGGGAGAAACTGTTTCTTCTAGGGGGAGAACCTGTTTCTTCCATGGAAATTTTCTTAATTTCTTCTGGTCCTATCTCTAAGAAAGCATTTTTTTTTCCTCTGAATATTGTTTCCAGTACAAGTTAAAATGAGTAATCAAAGGAGAGATGGGGAATGAATCTTTGAAATGATTGAAGACATGCTAGTGCTGACTCACTTCAAAGAAACATCTGTGCTACGTACCCTTAAGAGACGCTATGACCATCGGATGATCTGTGTATGTATATCTGTTTACTGATAAAATATCATGCCTGCACTCACTTCTCCTAGGTGATATTTTACATTTAACTAATGCACACTTACATAGGAACTGTGTTTGAGGAACACCCATTTGGGAGGGAATTATCTTAGCATTTCCTCAATTTTATTTTGTCAGCATTAATGTTTCTTCCCACAGGTCATTTGGGTAAGTTAAAAGCATAAGTCTTAGATCCTGATAGACCTGGTTAACTCTGTTCCTTATCAATTAAGTTTCTCAACTTCTTTTTTTTTTTTTTTACCTTTATTTTATTTATTTATTTATATGTGGTGCTGAAGATTGAACCCAGGGCCTCACATGTGGTAGGCAAACACTCTACTTCTGAGCCACAACCCCAGCCCCCTCAACTTCTTTTTAAGAAATTTTTGTGAGTGGAAATTATATTTGAGCTGTCTTTCTTTTGACATAGTTTATGGGGTTTGCTTGTATTCATGAATATGCACACAACATATTTATACACACATGAATACCTGTGTAGAGATAGATAATCATTTATTCAACACTCCTAAAAGCAGTTATTGAGTATCTTACATGGCATTAGAGAAAGAAATGAGCGGAACCCCTAAAGTGTACATGTATCGATGATAGAAATTGTCATCCTGGCGATCAGATAGTTTATGCATTATAGTGACCATTAGACTGTGAGCCCACTAAAGACACACCAAGTTTCTGTCATGCTTTGATTTTCCTACCAGGTGTGCAATAAACACGTATTTAATGAATCACTTAATGAAAAAATAACATGTTTCATTTATAGGCCCAATGGTAATAATGAATACCACACTGTTCACCAACCTTTGTCTAAACCCTGTTCTAGGGCTTAGAATATACACAATATAAACATATTTTTTGGGATCCATAATTCAACCACTTCAGTGACAGACTGACCCACAGGAGCTATTTATTTTCTCTCGGTGTTAATCTTGCTGAGACAGAGATTCCCTTCTAGCCTCAAATATCTGATGGATACTTATCAAAATTCCTGCTRTTAGTGTTCTCTTTGTCTTCAAAAGCTGTCTGTATTAGACATGTTAGCAGTTTGTAGATATTTTACTCAGTTTTGCTTTGCTGTGACCAAAATATTCAATTAATGCAACTAGAGTTCATAGTTAAGAGGTTTAGTCCATGGTAGGGCAATACCATTGCTCTCGGCTCTCGGCTCAAGTGAGACAGGACATCATGGTGGAAGGGCACGGCAGATAGTTAGGAAGCAGAGAGAGAAAAAAAAAGGGAATGTGCCACAGCGAATATGAACCTTTCTAGGGCATGCCTCCAGTGAATCTCCTCCCCCAGTCATGCCCCACTTGCTTACAGTTACCACTCAGTCCATTTAAACTAAAATGAACTGATTAGGTTACAACTCTCATAATCTAATAATTTTACCTCTGCATTAACATAGGAGCTTCTGGAGGACACCTCATATCTATACCATAACAGCAAATCTCTCAAGGAAGAGGTAGTCCCAGGTCCTTATGTTAGTCTAACCTGGTTCTGTATCTTCCAGTTAGAAGTCCCTTCTGTATAAGAATCTAAAAGTTCTCTTCTTTTGTATTCCTTTATGAGTAAATATTTGATCACATGTTACCTGACAGGGGAAGAACTGACAAGCTTGAATGTATTTTAATCTATTTTCTGAAATCTGTTTTGATCTTTCCTCAGACATATTTAGGTCTCTTCTACGTGGCCATAAACCCTTACAAGTGGTTTTCTGTGTATCAGAAAGAAGTCGTACCTGCCTACAAAGGGAAGAGGTGCTTGGAGGCTCATATCTTTGCTTTTGCTGATAATTTCTTTCAGGATATGCTTCATATAAGTAGCTGCCCGAGAAAATGAAAAGCAAAACCATCTGATCTGCGATTTCTCTGTCACCAAGTGGCACGTAAGCATTGTGTGCAGAGCCTGGCCTTTACAGGTATCTAATATGGTGAAGCCCCTCTTTCCTCCTGAATAATATGTGGGCAAAATAGTGCATATCTCCTAGGCTGATTGGGACAATTAGCTTAGACTTCAGAGTGAAATAATGCATTTATAGAGTTGTGGCTGATGACTGGCCCAGAGTAAACACCCTTTAGAYATCAGCTTTCATCACACAAAGCATCTACTGTATCGTTTGACACATAGAAGTTATTCTATAGCTCTTATTAAACATTCTTAAAAGGCTTAGAATTGCAAAAATATAAGCCATTACCTGTTTTCCATTTATGAAAGCAAAACATAACTGAAATGGAGAACAGACCTCAACAGATCAGCAAGCTTTCTTTATTAAGCAGCAGAAAGACACATTTTCAGGAGAGAAAATGACAACAGGTTACAAAAGGGGTCTGATTTTTATAGAGTTTAGAGAGACTTAATCATTAACAGAATGTGTCGGTTAGGCAGTCAGGGAAATGGTTGTGCAAGTTCAAAGACCATTGTTGCTGTGAAATGGTGAAAATTCAGAGCCCATTATTTGCCTTCTCTCCAGAGGTTGTTGTTCTCCTTTTTCCCTGGGGGTTGTCGTTTTCCATATCCTTCAATTTATGTTTAGAGAAGACAATAGGCCTGGAATTTATATGTTCTTATGACTTTTTTATGTACATAGGGAAATCTATTTTATTCCATCCTATTTAAATGTTTTGCTTTGTTTTTTTTTTTTCAACTAATTAAATGAAACAAATACTTTCCCTTGTTCCTGACTTCAAACTGCAGCCAAGGAAATTGTGGATAAATTCATGGAAATAAAAGTGCCTATAGCATAAGAATATTTTGACATTTTTCTTTTTCTTTTTTTGTAGAGCAAGAGAACCAGTCTATACTCTTCATAAAAGTGTTTGCCATGTTTTTTTTTTTTGTTGTTGTTTTGTTTGGGGCCTGCACTAAGTTTCAGTGGAAAGAGATATGTTTCACTGAGAATAAAACTTAAATTTAACACCTATGAATTGTTTGATTTTTGGATGTAGAATACATTCTATGTGAAAATAAGATACTCAGCAAGTTATCATAATGCTTCTGTCAGTGATTACTTCAATTATAGTATCAGGTAGTCTGGCTCCATCATTTCAACGGACACTTTAGAAACCATAGTACACAAGCTGGGTTCTATTTTTCCAAATGATCACATTCAAAGATCTCTGTACTGACTAATAAAGAAGATGGACTGAAAATTCAGTGGATGGGAGCACAGAACAGAAAATATGCTTTCGTGGGCAGCTAGTGTGGGGTAGGACAAGGTACTGTAAGTAGTGGTATTATTGAAAGCTCAGTCTTGTTCCCGGTGCCAATCCAAATAATGAGGAGAATGCTTTGAATAAAAGGAAAAAGAAGTTTTATTGATTTGCCATCAAATGAGGAGAGCAGCAATCTAGTGTCTTAGGAGCTACTGTCCCCCTCCCAAAGGGAAATAAAAGGATTTATAAGGAAATTCAGGGACTAGGCTCTGGGTATGCCTGTCAGACGACATTATTCATGTTAAAATGGTGACCTGGAGTTATCCATCGAACAGCCCTACTGGCACCAGTTCCCAGGTCTTCACATTTATCTTACTGACACAGAATCCTTCATTCCTGTAGTCAGTGAGCTAAAAGGCAGGGTAACTAATTTGGGATGGGAAGAATGCTAATTTTGCTTCCGCTGCCCCAGGATTGGGAGGGGAAGGAGAGGAGAGGAAAAAAAARRAAAAAAAAATCAGTTTTAAAAWAAGCCACCTGCTGGTCAAAAAGCAGAATACTCAAAGCAGGAAGTGAACCACTGTTACAGTGAAAACTAAAAAATGTGGCTCTGAAGGAAAAGAGAAGAGAGTGAAGAGGAAGGAAGGACAGGGCCTTAGTAATACCTTTTTATATGTTAATTTTGATGAAAATAATGCTGGCAGGACAGCTGAATATCACCAGGTGACAAAGACCCACCCCTGTAAGGTGCTCAGGTACTTGGCTTTCCCATGCAATGATGATGTCACCTTGTGTGTTGGGCTCCTCATTGGCTTCTGCTATCCCAGGAGGGGTACATGGTCTCAGAATCATAGCACTAGATGAGTAGTTCGACTTCAGACTTTTGTAGATATATAGGCCTGTTCCTCAAAGGAAGGTCTTTGTCCTATGATACTGTAGGTAATATAGAGTTAGCAGGGTATGAAATGTAAAGGGGGAAGCCTAAAGCAAAATTGCCTGGTGAAAGAATTGGTGGATGTTTTTCTGAGAAGAGGATTGGATTTGATCAAAATTACTTAATTTCCATCACACTGATAATCAGAACTAGTTAACTGAGTCACTGAATTTCAAACCACAGAGTAGAATCTGGTGCTGGAAAGATTATGAACACCAAAAATTTTGCAATATTTTGCTACCATAGTCACCATGAGTGATACCAGGAAAAAGCTGGTAAGTGTTCAAATATCATGGCAGSAAAGGTGAAATGGCTCTATCCACTGGATCATGGCAGCTTTGCCATGACCACCTGAGGGGTAGGTGGAAATAACCACAGAACAATTAGTAAAGTTAAGAAAAGTCTTGTTTTATATTTTTCCTCTACCCCTTGAGAGGATCTTCAAGTGCCCTATACTAATAATCTGATAATTTATGTAATTTCAGATCTGCTTCAAGCCAGATCCTGTTGGTTCAATCCTTTGTAAGTTATGCCCTTAAGATCCAAGCTATCTGACTTCCTTCAATGGCCACTTTTGATATTTCTTAATTTCATTGGCTATAGTATGATGTTAGATTTCCACAAATATGCACAAAAGAAGTGTGCTTCCTTTGCTCCTAACTCCTGTTATCAAATCCTGATTTCTTGATGCATATACTCTCAACTTTAATCACAATCCATGTTCTGAAAAAATTTACTTTATTTTTCTATTTTTGATCCTTGGCAATTTTTAATTTAGCCTAGTTTGTTTAGCCCTTGATAGGTTAGTGGGCTTTTATATAATAATTTAAAGATAACTAGACCATTAMATTTGGTATGTAAAACAAGATTAGGTAATATTGAGTATAACTCAAAATTAGTGAATTATTGAACTGCTAAACTTAAAACCTTTTCACTTTTGGCTTTATTAGTTTGCTTTTCCAGCTTGATTCTGGATGTTGCCAGCTGTTTTTGCTAATCAAGAAGTATTTCAAAATAGCCATCTGGTTCATCTTTAATCTATAGAAATTACTTTTCCAACCAACCACCATATTTCTGAATTTGATTGATTTCTACTATTTGAACTCTACTATTTTCTAGATAAAAATTTGTTTTAGCATGCATTTTAGGCTTATGTGTGTGTGGGGGGGGGATGTGTGTGCTAATGGGTAGGTCTAGCCATTGAATGTATGATGATACATAATACATAACACTTCATAATACATAACACTTCATTATACATAGCACTTCTATGAAAGTCTTTGCTCATATAGCCCTTTTACTTATTTAAAGGACAGTGAATGCATATTATTTAGAAGGGATATAATATTTGTAACTGTACATATTCTTTTTTTTTTTAAAGAGAGAGAGAGAGAGAGAGAGAGAGAGAGAGAGAGAGAGAGAGAATTTTTTAATATTTATTTTTCAGTTTTCGGCGGACACAACATCTTTGTTTGTGTGTGGTGCTGAGGATCGAACCCTGGCCCCACACATGCCAGGCAATCGTGCTGCCCTTGAGCCACATCCCCAGCCCCAACATATTCTTGAATACTATATTCTATGTAATTATTTCCATAAAATGGATMTTTGAGGATGAGTAGAAAACCACAAGACATGATGAAATGTGGCCACTGGCTGGTCATTCAGGTTTACTCTGTGTAGATGACCTGTTTGGTCCCATTTGTTTGAATGTGCCTAAACAAATTCAAGGTCAGTACCATTACAAGTCACTGCTTGGTGTGAAACTCTAGATTACTTAGGAATAGCAGGAAGCAAAAAATATAGTTTAATAATGGCAAAAGTCTGTTATATTATCCTAGGATATCATTCCAGGCATGAAGATTGAGAGGGAAGWCAGGAAGATTAACAATGGAGAAATATTATGGAATGAAGTTTGTGTGGAAATAGAATGTGGTATTTTTGTTTTGTTTTGTTAAATAACCACTTTATCTTCCCACTCAGGCTAATAATGATTAAAACCAATTAATGAGCTTCCATATGTAATCATAAGAGCAATACATTGTCTTTCATCCATCTGTTTTTCTGAATCTCCATCCCCAAAAAACATTTTATGACCAAGTTTGGAAGGAGCTTTTAGCTACTGGTTATTAAAGCAAGAATGGTGATGAACCTGGAAATGGAGGACTTGTCATATTATAAAATTCTCATTAAAGTTAATCAGTTGTAGTTATATTTCTTTTTTATGCTTCTCAAGGACTTTAGGAGTTCTAATCATGCAAGTGAATCCTATCTTGGAAGCATTTGGGAAATTCCAGACCTTGAGAAATGACAATTTCTCTTGTTTTGKAAGTAACATAATTATCATAATATCGGAATCTTTAATTTTTAAGCAATGGTAAACTCATGTCTAAACACATGAAAAAAATCTAGAATTTCAGAGAAAGTCTTTTAAAGTCTATAGTAGTAGGGTTAGATGCCTGAAAAAAATTAACTTTCTTCATTGCTAAAATAATTAACACTACCTATAAATATGTGTTTGAGCAGCTCTGATTTGGTCAATTTCAGGAAGAAAGTATTTATCTTAATAGTTTGAACTATCTTTCCCCTCCAAGGAGGAAAGCTTGTTTTTTTTTTGTATTATAGTAAATTCATATTAAATTTTACAGATTTGTAAATTCTACATAATTTTCAATACTCCTCATTACAAGGAATTTAGTAGGTATTTTCTAATTTTCTTATTGTGATTATTCTTTCTATTCTTGCCTATAGCCTCCATATATCTGTATATTTTCSCAGAGGAATTTTTAATTAGGAAAATATTTTTATGTACTTTTTAATAACAGAAGTCCCATGACAGAGGAAGAATTTTGATTTTTAAAATCTAGTTTTACAAATGCATTTTATGTCATGAATGAGAGCAAGGAGTCACCATATAATTTACAAGCAAATTTGAAGAAGGCTTTCTGTTTGAGTCTCTGGGYATAATTAAATAATGATCTCATGCTGATTTGCCTAGTTGCCATTCAAAGTCTTAGAGTTGCTGTGTCCACACTTATATTTACTTGCAGTATCTACCTGGTCACAGTAGGTACTAATAAYTGGTACATAAACAACAGCTAAATTTGAAATTTGTTGGAGTGCTAAGAAATTTTCTGCTGAAAGATGGAAAGCAGAAACAAGAATAAGAAAAAGATGGAAGGGGGGATTTGTAGAAAGTTAAAGAAAAGGAAGAAAGGAAAGAAAAATAAAGTAGAAAAGAAAGAAATTGAAAGAGAATAAGAAAAAACAAATTTAGAAGAATTGAAGGTAGTCGAGAACTAAACAAACATAAAGATAGGAAGGAAGCAATGAAGAAAGGGAGAAGGAAAGAGAGAAAATCAAGAAATCAAAGTTAAATTCTTTTAMTTAATGCTATGCATGTATGTAGACATATATTTAAATGTATATACATACACATATACATATGTACACTCTTGTATGTGTTCAATTATACATGTGTATGTTTGTGTGCGTGGCTCCCATTGTCCTACAWTTTTTAACTTACTAGCTCAATCCCCCAGCACGTAGTTACTCTCCTGCTGCTGCCAGGCTGCTGTCCTCTGCTGTGCCTTTCTGGCATGGTGTGACCTCYATCAGGCTTATGGCTTTTTGTAAAGGAAGGAGCAGTGCCCTACTGTTGTTTATGCCAAGGTATGTTTTGAAAATAAATCATATCACATAACTACTCTTCTTAAAATTTCTAAATATCTTTGAGTACACATGAAATGAAGCCCTACTCTTTACTGTGTCCTACATGTTTCATACAATATGGTTCTAATCTGTCTTTTAGATTGTCATATATTTTATTTTCTCTTATCTGCTAAAACACAATACAACTGGATTTTCTTTAGAATTTAAAACATACCAAATATTTCTGTGTTAGAACTATTGTAGCAGCTACTTACTCTCCAGAATACACACTTCAAAGGGGTAGGGATCATGCAGGTTTCTCTTATGTAGTATCTCTAGTGCTTAGCAGGTTTTCTGGATTCTAGCAGATTTTCAATGAATGTTTGTTGAATGAATGAATGAATGAAGAATTATGCTGAAAAATATYATATTTCTCAATTTTAAATAAGAATATCAGGACACCTAGAAATTCCATAGTGCGTTCAAGAATATACAGTAGCAAGAGATAGATCTGAATAGAAATCAGGACCACTCTAGTTCTGGCAGTTGTTCTAGTTCCCTCCAAACATTAACTGGTTCTATATCCTCTCAAGCCCATGTTGCAGGGTTTTTTTTTTTTTTTTTTTTTTTTGGTACTGGGGATTGAACCCAGGGGTACTTAACCACTGAACCACATTCCCACTCCTTTTTGGTATTTTATTTAGAGACAGGTCTTAGGCTGAGTTGCTTAGGGCCTGATAAGTTGTTGAGGCTGGCTTTGAAGTTGTGATCCTCCTGCCTCAGCCTCCCGAGCTACTGGTATTACAGGTGTGTGCCACCA